TATTCTATAATCTTTGAAAAATATGAAGAATGCCTATCTAAAATATATCTATGCACATCTAGAAAATCTTAACTAACATGACTACAAACTTAACTATTATTAATGATTATTCATTAACAACCTATATACATTACAAAATTAACCTTAAATTTAAATCACTAAAGCAAAATCCATATCAATGTAAATTATTCATACCTATATCATCTCCCCCTTTAAATGTAAAAGAACATTTATAAACAATATTTGGGAATATGGGCGCAGTTTTTTCTCTCCAAACTGCTTCCTGCTGAATGGGGGCGTCGTTAATTAGGTCTTTCATGGTATAACCTGTGTGCTAGTTTCATCTCAGTTGGCAGTTGAGCGAAGCAATTTTCTGAAGGTATTCACAGCAACCGTTCAGGAGGGCGTGGTCCATCATACCATATCGGAATAGAAGAAATGAACAGGGTCTCATCCTCTGTGAAAACAAAATAAGAAACTCCTTTCCAAAGTATCATGTCCTTAGATCCAAATTTCAAAGTCAAGGCATCAAAATCTCTACGATGGATTAGTTCAGCAGCATTTATAAACAAATATCTTTTAGCAGCTGTTGCTCCTTCCTCAGCATTCAAACAATTCAAAGAGAGCATAATAGTATACAGTATCAAGATTCTCTGTGTATTTTCCATCTTTGTACGCTTTATTTTAACCTCTATTTCGTTTATTTTTACTTTTATTTTATATTCTCTGTATCTCTTTGACCTGGAATAACTCTGTAGACCAGGCTCTCCTTGAACTCTCAGAGATCCGCCTGTCTCTGCCTCCCAGGCATTGGGATTAAAGGTGTTTGCTACCACACCTTGAACTCACAGAGATCTGTTTGTCTCTGCCTTCTAGGCACTGGGATTAAAGGCGTGTGCTACCACACCTTGAAGTCACAGAGGTCAATCTCCCTCTGCCTCCCAAGTGTTGGGATTAAAGGCGTGTACTACCACACACAACTTCTCTTTTTCTTACTTTTTTTTTAAAAACTTTTAACTTTTAGCTTGCATATATTTTTAACACACTGTAAATCATTTAAACATTTTCTTTATCTTTGAATCTCTTTACTGTATATCTCTCTTTTTCTGACCACACGAGCCTTTAAATTACTGAGCAATATGAGTAGGATTAAAGCCGTGGCTTTGCCAGCTAGATCCAGTCCATTCCTTAGCTTTCCAGCCTCATGGCGGAGATACAGGCTGTAGCCATGTTTATAGCCACAATTCTATGGCGTTTCAAGGTCCCTGCCAGCCAGCGAGCTACAACAGACAACAGTCAAGTCCTCTCTCGGTAGTTGGCCCTCCTGCCTCAGTCAGAGTTTGCCCTGGCAGGACGGCCCAGAAAGCCGGCATTTTTAAACAGCACAGCTTTTTTCCTGCTACGGCTGAAAACCGAAAAGCATGCGTTCAGCTTTTCACCAACACCGTTTAAGTGTTTCGTGGCAGGACCTCTTAATGAGCTGCAGGGTTTTGCAGCTGAAGCTGAGTCAGGAAGCCTCTCTTAGATGAGAGTGCTTGCTTGCTTCTAACAAGCAGAGCAGACCCAAGAAATTGCTGCTATCAAGAAAACATGCTTTACTCTTTCCCAAGCTTTTTCAGGCTTTCTGTGGATTCAGTTGTCCACATGTCTGGGCGCCATCTGTTTGTAATGTTTGTAAGCACCCCAGGTGCGCTTACCAGGAAGATTCTAGCCTATGTCCATCTTCATCGCGTGTGCCTCAGAGAGCAGAGCTATCGCGTCTACCCGGGAGAGCTGAGCATGGCGTCTCTTCTGGAGCCGAGCAGAGTCTGACCTCACTTCCTCTTCCTCCCAGAATTCTATTCTGTTTACTCCTCCCATCTATGTTCTAAGCTGAGGCCAAGCAGTTGGTTTATTATAACTTAACCAATGAAATCAACAGATTGATATATGACACTCCCACATCAAACCTGGATGGTGAGAAGCCATCGCTAGTGCTCTGCACAGAAACGTCACAACGGAGGTGGAAACCTGACCGTGTGAGCAAGGAGGGTCTTAGGGCAGGCATGAGAAGAAACAAGCATGCATGGCACCAATATCGTGTGCCCGTCAAATATCTGGGCAATGGCGTCATGGCAGCCAGGGAGCTCGAGATGGCTATATAGGCACACACTAAGACACTGTACAGAAGGGCTGGGTATCTGCAGGTGGGTTCTGGAACCAATCCCTGGCGGACACCAGGAGACAGCTGTATACTATTCCCAGATGGGGTTGGGGAGCCGACAAACTTGGTCTCCTATCATTTCTCAGGAAGCAGCGTGGCCATTTGCTCTCTATCTTATACAAACGAAAAAGGAAAGTGCCATCTAAAGCTCTTAGAATAAAGTTAAGAGGCTGGGTACCTACTACACAGCACAGAGAGCAGGCGTTGAGGCTCACAGGAGGCTGGCTGTCTGATGCGGTAGCAACCCTACGGTTAGACCTTGCTTCTGCTTGGCCTTGCTACAGGAGCTTATTGTTTTTAGTTTATACACGGCAGAGAGAATATCCACCATGCACAGAGCCCTAAGTTCCACCTCCTGCATCTCAAAACCAAAGAAAAAAAGGGAGAGGACAAAATAATACTTACAGATTCTGAATAATGGCTGCAAAGATGTATACCAAAGTGTTTTCTCTAGATGCCAGCCACAGTGGTACACATTTGGAACCCCAGAACTCAGAAGGTACTGACGGGGGGTGGGGGTGGGGGCAGCCTCAGCTGTGACAAAGTCCAAGGCCGGCATGGACTACATCAGACCCTGCTTCAAAGATCACAGCAAAGAAAAATAAAAGTCACCTCTGGGCCATTTTAATTTCCTTATTTACAAGCTTTTTATATTCTAAAATAGATGTGCAATGTTTTCATAGAGAAACTGTCATAAAAGGCAACATGACTGAGAACACAGACAAGTTCAGTCTCTGCCAAGCCAAACGTTCCAGGGCTGAGGTGCTCTTTAAGGAGGTGGGCTCCAGCTCTTTTGTCTCTGTGGGTCTCCTGCCTCCTCCTGCTGCTCCTGAAGCTATGTCCACTTATTTTCTTTATGATTTTTCCATTCAGCACAGCAGTAAAGGAAGGTTGAGGCAGACCTTCCCAAGAAGACAAAAAGCCTCTGTAGCCTGTGGGATGGAAACCTCCTAACAGAACATGGGCCTCTGTCATCAAAGAATCCAAATGCCGGGGGACAGAAATTCCGAGGAGAACAAAGAGCAGGGAGCTTGCCGGGCTGTGCTGCCACTCCAGGGCCGGCATGCTAGTAACTTCATATCATAATGAGGGCATAAAGAACAAGCTGTCCCATTCACTGTGCGCTCCTGCCACCACAGGGTCTCAGGGGAAACAAAAAGAAACATACTAGGGGTGTGAAAGGGGCTGAGGGCAGGTAGATCACCAGCAGCCGGGGCAGGGGGTGATGAAAAGATGCTCCTGTGATCACTCACCAGCCAGACCTAGGCACCAAATCAGGCCTGGTTCTGTCTGCTGCGGTTGTTTCTCCTCAACAGCTGAGCCCTCGGGGAGAAGCCAGTGGGCCTGAAAGATCAGCTGTAGTCAGTGAGCCTCATTGCACCTGGCTGTTTTGACAGCAGGTTTCACTGGTTCAAGGTAGAAAGTCTGTCTATGCTAGGCTGTCGCTAACACAACTAGAACTTTTGGAAGAAAAGGTTCAGCTCAGAGGCAAATCTCACTCTTCCTTATTTCCGTCCACAGTTTGTAAGAAGCAACCTCCCCTGCGGCCCTTAAGAGGAGGGTCAGCCCAGGATCCTACTCCACCTGGGGCAGCCTGCTTCTGGGCATGCACTGCTCAGGGTGCAGGACTCTCCTTCTCTCCTGGCTAGCAGATGCAAACAGGGGCCCTGTTCCAGAACAGGGAGCCGAGCTTCCAACCACACCAAGAATGTCTAGGAGCCTTCTACAGCCTGGCTTAGGACCAGGAAGCAAACTCCACAGAGACTGCCAGAACACCCCCCTCTGAAACACTGCAGGGCAAGGCTGGTTCTCAGTGAGTCATCTTGTTTGGAAGTCACAGGCTCTCAATACATTCCTGACTTTAAAGTGCTACCTTCCAGGCCCCGCGAGGCCCCACGCGGCCTCACCTCTCCAGTTTTGTTTAGTTTTCATTTCTTTTTTGGCTCCAGAGAGATGGAACCAAACAAGTAGCTGAGCAGGCGGCATCCATTTCTGAACTGAAGGCAGTGCCTTCCAGTGAGCTAGTGGTGAGGCTTCTCCTCGTTTGAAGGTTACTGAACACCCCCCCCCCCCACTGCATTTCATGGGTCACAGACATTCATTGACACTCAGACATTCCCGAGTAAAAGCTCATGTAAGCAGCCACAGAACTAGAAATAAGCAGGCCACAGGGGTCTGTCCACAGTCACCAAGGCCTACTACAATAGTAAGCCTGGTCCTTAGCCAAGCACTCTAGCTAGGGAAGAGCCTGGATTACCCAAAAGATTCTGGAACCATGGACCTGGGAGATAAGTAGCCCCTTCTGCTCTAGGTTAGGTGTTCCCACAGGGCAGGTAAAGATTCTCTCTACCCATGACCTGAAAGAGGGGTGGAGGGAACCGAGTCTGGGTCCCCAAGACAAAGCAATGACTAAATGGGCAGAGAAGCAGCCTGATGCAGGCCCTTACGTATCCTAGAGAGGAAGCTGAAAGGCAGGGGTCAGAAGGAAAACAACCACCCCAGTCAGGTAAGAGCTGTGGCTAACCAGACCACCTGTTTGGCTATACCCAAGGCAGAACCCAAAGCTAGCTGCTTAACCCGCTGCAGGTATTAAACTGTTGCTTGGAGACTCCACCCAAAATACCCAGCATGCTCTGGATGACAATGCGGTGGCCACTGTCACATCTGCCGACACCCCACAGTACTCAAGTCTGTGGTCCGGGGCCCAGCACGTTCATAGGCATATTAAAAGCATTACTGCCTGGGCTGCAAGTGTAGCAGCAAGCTTCACTGTCCCTAAAAGAGTTGTCTCAGATACCTTAGGTATTCCGGAACATTCAAGCCAATCACAGATGATGTTCTCAACAGTCAGGCCGAGCCTTCAGAAACAAAGCAAGAACCGAATGGTTAGAAACACATCAGAGCTCACACGACCAGGACACAGTGCAGTACTCAGGCAGAGGAGATGCTCTCTGGTTGGTGGTGTGGGAAGGGACCCATGTCAGGGTAACCTCTCTGGGAAACAGGACACAGAACAGGGAACTGAAGAGTCACAGGCACACAGTGACGGGTACTTTCAATGCTTTGGGGGAAGCTTTAGGGGGAAGCAATGTTCCTAGAATACATGGAGCCTGACACCTGCTAGTGTAGTAACATGTCTGTGAACCGACAGTAACACGAGCTACAAGAACAGAGCACTCTGTGCTCAGAGGACTTGTCTGCTTTCCAGAAGAACCACATCAAATCTCTCTGTACGATATTATGAATGCTTGTTACATTGGCTGAAATGGTTTTGCTTTCTTGCTTTGCCGACTTCACTGGCCTGTAGAAATCACCAAATATCTGGTCTTCCTTCAGCAATGCGAGGAAGGTTTGTTTACAGCAAATCCACCTCCCTTCATCTCCTTCCAGACAATTCCTGATCATGCCCAGTATCTTCTCACTGGCTCCATCCTAGAACCCACATACAAAGCTAGATGTGGCAGCATGCCATCTGTAATCCCAGAACTCCTATCACAGGAAGGGAAGTGGAGACAGGACAGTTGCCTTGAAATTTGTGGGCCAGCTGGAAGAAAACAAGAGAGACCCTGCTTTAGCACAGTGGAAGTTAATAACGGACTCTCAGCTGTCATCTGGCAGCCACACAAGAACACATGAGCACACATGCACATATATAAACTTAAACCCCAAGACCCCCCCCACAATTTCCTACTGACAACAGAAGTTGTAGAAATACGCAGTCTAATAGAAGGCTAAGTGTAGTCCACGCGGGCTTTTGGTAAGAAATCAGTTTCCAATGAGCTGGGGAAACAGCATCTACTAGGGAAGAAACACAGGGAGAAGAAATGCAGGGAGAAGGTCTGGATTTCTACAGCCACTGTTTCTCTATGGGACCAGTGAGCAGAAGATGGAGAGAGAACCTGAGAAGACAGAGATACTACCTCTTCAGGTCTTCCTGGTCTTCAGAATCAGTGGAATTTTTTAGCACACCTCATAAGAAAGTTGCGTGTTGCCGTCACTGGGCCTTTTCATCACTTGCTAACCATTTAATAGTTTCAATCCAGTGCAAACAACCAAGTGCCCTGTAAATGTTGGGCTCAGAGATGCGTGAAGGGAGGAGGCTGTTCTCCAGAGCATCTTCAGGAGCACCATCCTTCCTGAGTATGGGAGGCCTGGAGATACTGACCAGAAGGACTCAGATGGTGGGTCTGGATGGCCACTCAGGAAAAGCACCACAGGGGGTCCCAGAAAACAGGTCCCTGGATCCTCTGTCAAGCCTGGCAATACTAGTGCTCAAAGCCCAGAGCTGCTCAGGATAAGAACAGGAAACGGACCCCTGTACTAAAGACACTGTGTCCCAGGGGCAAGGTCAACGGTAGGAAAGCTGGGGACAAACAGCCTTTGTTTCAGGCAAGAGCAGGCCTTCGACTGAGTCATCTCACTTCATGTGAAACAGAAATCAGTCTTATCTGCCAGTCACACATTTCAAGGGAGAATCAACAACAACAACAACAATGTAATAACAAACATTATTTCCTTGGATGCAGGTAGGAAGTGCCCTTCATTGGCTTCCATTCTAGCCAGACTCCTATGGGTTACACATCTGACATCATCTCAGTGACCCTTAGGAAAGGCAAAGCCAGAGGCACCTCTAAAGCTGGCCATGCTGTACCTGGCATCCAGGAAAACAGGTTCATAGCATATGAGGAGAGAGAGGCCACGCTCAGAAAGCTTAGAAGTAGCAGGGATGAGCAAAGGGCCTGACACAGGGGATGACCGAAAGCTCAGAAATGGGGATCACATATCCCCAAAAGGCAGCATCGGAGGGATGACTTAACTGCCATTTTTGAAAGATGGCAGACAGCTGTTGGGCATCACCACAGAGGAGGGAATGTCCAGACACAAACGCCATTTCCTCTGTGGAATTTCCATGGCAAGACCCTTCTTTCAGGGGCATGGGGAGAGGCTGGGCAGTGAAGACGGAGAAAGGAGGCGCTGGGCTGAGTCCTCAGGTGAGAATGCTGAACACCAGGCAAACATCTGCTTGAGATAAGGCCCTGGTGGACCTCTCATGTCCAGCAGCAGCTCAGGTGAAAACATCCAGGGATGGAGCTGTCTCAGAGGAAGAGATGACGGATGCCTCAGAGAACAGTAGCAGCTCGTCCGTGTGTGGTGCAGACGACCATCCCCTGGCTCAGGGAGGATACGGGGGCTTGGGACACCAGAACAACATCCAGAGAGGGTCTGAACAGGAGGCAACACTTGAGCGTGAAGTTGGGGCAGCCGCATTGTCCTGCATGCTGGGGCAGGGCCACTGGAAATGGAGGCAGATGGAGGAAGAAGACCCAAGTTCCTGTCCCACAGAGACAAGGTAAAGATAAGGCTTGGCCTAGCCAGTAGCACCCAGGATGAGGTGAGAAGAGACCACCATGGCTACAAAACAAGGCTGGAGGCAGGAGACCACATGGCAGGCTGATTAGCAGGAATGTGTGCATGTATGCATACATGTGCTTACTTTGGAGACAAGGTCTCCCTGTGTGGCACAGGATGGCCTCAAACCCAGCATCCTTTTACCTCAGTCCCTTGAGTGTATGGCTATCACCCAACACCAAGGGCACGGAGTGATAGGGAAGGATATAGAGGGACTAAAGAAGGAGGGTGGACTCTGGACTCCATCCATCTCTGCTAGACAATGTTCTACAGAAAGCATGCGACGACCCTGTACCCCTCTGCAGCTAACTCTGAGGTTTGTTTACTGACAAGCAGTGAAGCAGATACTCTTGCCATGTTCAGTATCTGCTCACAGTGCAGAGGCACTAAAACAGAACACAAGAACATCTTAAAGCACTGCCAAGCGAAGGCACAGAAGTGGCAGCTACTATGTAGGAGGGCAGACAAGATCTCACCTGAACCTTAGAGAAACAGCATAAAGTCAGTGTTGTTCAGACCCATGTAGAGATGAACAAGATTCTGAGAGGTTGGGAAACTTATCTATGGCCACACAGATGGTACTTGAAGAGCTGGGATTCAAATTTACCAAGCCCCCGCTTTCCTTCCCAGGCTAAGCTTGGGCCTCATGGTGAACCACTTTCTGCAGTGGTCTAGACACGCCCACAGAGGTGGGGCCTGTGGCATCGTATCCAACACAGCTTTCCCTTCTCCCTAACCTTTCTGATGCTGAAAGAGTCTGCTTCCTGCTGTGGCGATCCTGCTTGCCAGCACTCTGATTTTATTTCTGAAGAGATGGAGAGATCCTTTCAGGGCAGAGATGTGAGGACACAAGAGTTTCCTAGGCTACATTCAGGAGCAAAACTGTTCTCCCTTAACCAGGGGAGCTTGGATTTTCATATCACTTCTTGGAAAGATAGGACGCATCTCATAACCAAGACCACTTTGGTCCTTACAGTTGCTGTGTCAAGTGGGGGACAACTGTTTGTGCAGGTGTTGAATCTATAGCCTAGGTGGACTCTGGTCAAAGTCAGTGCTGTCAGGGGGATTTCTAAGGCCCTGGTGTCAGTGCAGAGATCACTAGGCCTGTCTGGGGGACTGTGGAATAACATGTGAGACCACAAGAAGATGCATGGATTAACATTCCCACTCTCAAAAGCAACCAAACAAAGCCAAGCTTGAGTTGCTATAGGTGGCCTCATCTCCGAGGAAAGGGAGCCACCATATAAAAAATGCCTAATTTTCTGGGAAGAAATAGACCACATGATTTCTGAGCGAAGAGAGTACACATGCTTTCTGTTGTTCTGACCATTACTACAGACATGGTGCAGCACTAAGCAGATAGCTGATATCACAGTCAGACTCACAGTGTCTAAGCCAGGAGTGTGTTGTCCCTGTGAGGGCTCATGGTTTAAACAATCACAGCAGACAAGCAGGGGCATTTCCATGTAGCTGGGACCCAGGACATACAGGAAATGACCCTTCTGCGTGTCTTATTGCTATGGAAATTGACTTTGTCAAGACAGCTAATAGGACATAGACTCTAGGCTGAATGCCCTTCCTATCTCCTAGCCTATGGCTGATACCAGGTACTAAGAGCAGCAGGCAGTTCTGCCCACTGGCTGCTTGCTCGTGTGAACCACACTTCACAGGGCAGCTTGGAGTTTAAGTGTGGTCACATCTAGTTAAGGGAACAGAACTGCCTGGAAGAGAAAGCTGAGTTTGGAGCCTAGAAAGTGATCTTCCCATGGTGCGGAAGTGAACAGATGTAAGCACAGCTCGTCGGAGGATGGGCTGCGCACACCTGGATGTGCTTGCTGTTGTGGTGAGGTTGCACAGCAACTGTACCTGTGCCTGCGCCTATCGGCTGGCTGGACATGGCGTGTGATGCTGCTATCACTCTTGGCTCTTGCCTTCAGCCTCCTGGGATTTGAACACCCACACCCTGCTGTTCTTCCCACAGCCCAGCTCACAGTCACATCAGCCTCGCACAGCAAACGCCAGGCCTCAGCAACTTTGAAAGTATAGGTGTTAGACAGAGAAAAGGCACAGTTTAGATGGAAATGCCTTTGTTTTCGAATACAACTTACAATCCACATCAGTTGTTATACATGGATAAGTTTGCTTTTCAACCCCTTCTCTCCACGTGGAAGCTTTCCACGTGTTGCTCATTTTCTTGATCAAAACAAGGCATCTGTGCTGACAGCTAATCAAGACAGCTGAGGAGGCAGGCGAGTGAGTGCTCCTTGCTCCATGGGGGAGGAAGAACACGGGGTTTAAACAAACACATGAACATGCATGCACAAACACCATAACTGACGGGCAAGAATTAATCAGCAGCTATGGCTGACACCTGGACCCAGGAGCCAAGGCTGTGGACCAACTATTCCCTAGGTGGCATAGCTTTTTGGCAGGGGGTAGATGGTGTGCCTGTCTGGATGGTCTCCTGAGCATGTCACTTTGTCCTTACCTCCCTCCCCTTCATACTGATTCCAAGGACGAGAAGCTGCCCACTGCACTTTAGCTCAGGGTCCAAGAAAAGCCACACTCCTGACTGGTTTCTTTATTCAGATTCACAACTAATCAGCCATTTGTAACTGTGGCACCTCTCAGTCAACCCATGGCTCTGTTCCCTGCTTCACAGCCCACTGCTATTGTACCCATCACTGAAATAGCCCCAGCTCTCAAGAGTTCTTGACTCAAATGCTCTAGTGATCGCTAATGAATTTCTGGCTTTTAGCTCTCTCCATTACCCCCCCCCCCCCCCCCCCCCCACCCCCCCCCCCCCCCCCCAGACACAGACATTCCCCAAGGCTGTAGCAGGCTCTGTCTTGGGTCTCATTTCAAGTTGAAGGCTGACAGAGTTGCTGTCTGTGGCCCCAGGACCAAGAACCTCACAGAGCCCTTCATACACAGATTCTAATGCCCTGTTCTGGAGATTAAAATGACCCACGTTTTTGGTGGTTGGCTAGGATCTCTCTGAAGGCTGGCGCTGGATTTATTCTTCCTGTCTACAGGAGATGCGCCACAGAGAGCGCTAATACGTTGGGGCAGGACAGCAGTGCAGAAGCGGTATGACATTGACGGACTGGCCACTGTGACTGGCAAAGCCTTGCCTGCTCAGCATGGCTCAAGTGCTTAACAGATGTGCCAAAGGATCAGTTTGCAAACTGGGGCCAAAGATTAGAGGCCCCAGGGGGTAGATGTGCAGTCTTTGGAGGCCCACATAAAATTAGTACAATATGCTGCATAGGTAATGGAGCAAACCATCTGTTTGAATAGGCAAACTAGATTTTGAGATTAGTTAGCCAGCAAGAAGATGCTTAAGTTTGAAAATATACTCCGATATACTTGGTGAAGTAGGCTTGCTGTAGGCAAGAGATTATTTTAACATTTGAGGAGAATTTTTAATGAGACTTAAGCCTGCCGGGCAAAGCACGATCCCACTGGGAAAGGTGCCCACCCATCAAAGGGATTCAGTGGGTGTTGGTGGGGCATAGATGCTGGTCTAATCTCCACAGCTACAACAAAAGTCTCTTTTTGTGAGTCCAGCGTGTTGCCTCAGTGCATATCCACAACAATAAAATCCAGGCCCTCAGAGCCAGGGGGCTCAGGGCATCCGAATGAACTCCACACTGCATCATGGAGATGTAAAGGAAGACAGATCTCTCCCAAACTAAAAGTGCACTGTGCGTCTCACTGGAAACTACTGTGTCTCTGCCCTAAGAACTCTGCCCCGAAGGAATGCACTTTGATGACCAACAGAAGAGGAAGCACACCACATCTATAAATTCCCTCCCTCCCTCCCCACCGCTCTGCTGTCTGTCCTAAAGAAGGGTCTCTATACTCCACCAGAGAACCTGAGCTAGTGTCCTGACGGCAGGTATAAAAGAACAGAACATTGGCCCTGTAATACAGTGGTCAGACACATGCCTAGCATATGTGAGGCTGTGAGCTTAATTAACATCCAGTTATGAGGGGAAATATGTAAATCTTCCAGGTTTACTCTTGAATAATGAATAAGCACACCAGAAGTGACATCTGCAGAAGACTCACCACCTGTGCTGGGTGGTTTTACATCAACTTGACACAAGCTAGAGTGATCTGAGCAAAGGAAACTTCAATTGAGAAAATGTTTCCATAAGATCGGACTGCAGGCAAACCTGTAAGGCAGTTTTTTTAGTTAGTGATTGATGGGGGGTGGTGCCATCCCTGGGCTGGTAGTGGGGAGCAAGCCAGTAAGTAGCACCCTCCATGGCTTCTGCATCAACTCCTGCTTCCAGGTTCCTGGTGGACATGTCTACAGGAGACTGTCTTGACCACCTTGGTTGATGTGGGATGAGCTGATTCGAACGCTGGTGGCAGCATTCCCTGGTTTGGGGCTCTGGACTGTGTAAGAGAGGGTAGCTGGATATTAAGCGTCATGTTTACCATTCTTTCTGCCCTCAACTATGGACGTGATGCGACCATCCACCTGAAGCTCCCGCTGTCTCGACTTTGGCACGCCACCCCAGGCTCTTAGTGCACTTCTCTGCCTCATTTAAACAGTAGGCCCTTCTATAAAATCACAGTGACAGGAGCCACCTCAACTTGTTCTTCTCTGTTATTTATCTACTTATTTTTTTAAAGAAGTAGGTGGTCCAGGGTAGCAGTCCCTGACCTTCTCATCACAGTGACCACTCTGCTGCGGAGTCCTCTCCTCCAACCGTAGCCCCAGAGTGCCCTTGGCTAGCTTCCCATTCCACATCTAAGGCCTGGGGCTGTGCATGCTGCCCTGACTCCAGCCTGTCTTCTGGTCAAACTGTGACTCCATGAGCTGCACTGGGTTCCTTTATGCAGAGAGGAAATCTCAACTGTCTTAGGTTCTAACAACAGGTCAAACGATGGTAGGGTCTTTTCAACATTAAATGTGAATGGGGCTCTTAATTCCTATATTGGTCCTCACCTTTTGTCTTCTGGAATGCTCTCCAACAGCATTTGAAGAAAATCCTGAAATAAGAAGAAAGCAAACCATGAAAGCCGTCTACCAGTAACTGCCCAACCCTGCCAGCAACCAAGCATCGACTGTTTCCATCTCGGGCCCGGTCACACATAAGAGAACTGACTCCTACTTTCCCACTCTCTCGCCATGAGGTCTTTCTCCACTCCTTGAGGCCCACAACTAACACGGAGCTCTGGGAAGAGGCCAAACTTAACAGAACAAAACCCAGCTGAGCGACAGAGACGGCCCAGTCTGAGACTCCGTCCCTTCTCTTCTCCTGCGTCTGTGCAGTCACAGGACATCTAGGAGTTTGCCTCTGCGACAGTGCCATGTCATGATTTACACCTTTGCCCAAACCACTTTCTTTTATTGTGGAAATTTTCAAATGAAAAGCGAAGTCGAATAATTAACTACTCTGTTTAAATTACCCGAGCTAACCTGCCTTGCCCTATCCTTCCTTCCTGTCTTCTGAACTGTTAAGACATCCTGAATATTACATAATATCATCCATAAATGCTTTGTAAACCTCTCTAAAATAAAAGTACTCTGGTGGGAATAACCACAATATCATAGACCTAAAAGTTCCAATAGCAAGCTCGTTTGTATTTAATTTATACTTTTATTGCAGCCCCCTTTCCCATTCCTACAATCCTGGAATCCTCACTGGGTCTTACCCAGTGTCGTCAGATAAAGGACTGTTAGTTAAATTGGGAGGATAAATACACTAAAAATGATCGTTTATTTAAAGATAAGACGTAACAAGGCTTTTCTGCTCTGTCTTTTTATTTGCTGAATGCAAACCCCAGTGTAAACTTCTCACCATCTGAGTATCAGGTGTGGTGGACACAAAAGGAGAAAAAGGCAGGATGAAGCATAACATTTTGCTATTTAATGACATTAAACAACAAATAGCATCTCTACTTGGAGGGTCTTTTTAATTTTCATTTTTCTCCTTTTTTAATACAGAGTCTCTTGCGATGTTAACATTTCATGGTTTTCTTTTAATGCAGTAATCTATAAATTTTTTTTTTCTGGGTTTGTACAGTCACTTTGGTTTTTGAGGTAGTTTCTCAACTTATAGCCCATGTTGATCCTCCAGGTTCAGCCCCCTGATGGCTGGAATCGCATAGAGATGTGAGCCACACCACCTGGCTCTCCTTGAAGATTTAACAAAGAGAAAATAAACTTTAGAAACACGCACGATAGCCCATGCCTGTAATACTAGTACTCAGGAGGCAGAGGTGAGAGAACTCGTTGGAGCTTGAGGTTAGCCATGTGAATCCCTGCTTTATAGAAAGTACAGTATTCGTGTATGAGATTCACAGAAACAAATACATTTAACAAGTTAAAAGGTGCTTTTTCGGGTGAAAGTCCAAGAGAGCACACACGACTGGAGCAGAGGATGGGAGGAGCAGTCCAGACCTCTGCAGCACAGCATACTGACGGGTGCACGGACGGGTGCTCCTTTTCCATCATCACACTGCGTCCAGCCATTGCAGCATGAGCAAAGCCAGCCCAGCCTGTCCAGAGGGGAAGGCTCCTCAATAAAGGAGCTACTGACAGATTTCCCTCACACCACTGTGACTGAGACCCTAACACAGACAACTTAACAGAGCAGAGATTACTTGGGCTCACAATTTTTGAGGCCTATTACGGCATGGTGGCCGGAAGGGCTCCAACAGTGGTGCCCTCTTCGCATGGTACAGAGGAGGAGGCAGGAAGCAGGGGCTGGAGCCAGAAGAGCTCACTCCTCGCTGGAGCCTACTTCTGACAGCCAGGCCCTGCCTCGAACGGGTCCCACAACCCCGGAAAGCATTGAAAGCATTGCCACCTCTTGGAGACCAGTGTGCAAGCACACAGACCTGGGGATGAATGCAGGGGCATGGCGGTGGGCAAGAGAAGGCAGCAGGCCTGGACTGTTTACTGCCCAGGCCTAACCCTGGACATAGAGAAAAGCCATGCAAGCACTTCACATCTACTAGGCCTTGCTTGAGAGTCTTAAAGTCATTATTTTTATTATTTTAAAGGTTACTGGAACTAAGGAAAGAGGCTAGCAGTATTCAGCTATTATTTTTAAAAATGTTTTGTAAAATGTTGCATTAGAAATTTATTTATTATGATCTAGCTAATAGATCATTTTGTAAATCACTATTAGTGGATCGCTGCTTATTGACAAGATTTTTGGTTTTTGATTCTTAAAAAATCCAAGAACTATAACTATGCAATTATAACTCTATAACTTCGTACTAATTTTACCCCATTATGTCTGTATAGTACCTACAAACTTATCTCCTATATTCCTAGTAATTTATGTTCAATTATGTGGCACAGGAGGGGGAGGGGAGAATGACATTAACTTAATAACAAGGGGGAGGAATTTGATTGCTTGAGAAGCAGGAAATTCAGAGCTAACCTTAATTCTACCCTTTCACACTTCAAGTTACAGCTGGCTTCACAGCCCCTCCCCTTTTGATAGACAGTAAGCACAGGCATCTGGAATTCTGGGTGGATCCGGGTAATGAAGAAGGTCCCTGTGCAAACCTCCCCCTCCTCCTTCTTATTTTAAGAAAGATGGTGTCCTGGCTCCTAGGAGGTTACCATTCTGGAATATCTGTCAAGTCCTGCCTCCAAGCTTAGATTGGCAGGCAGCTCAGCAGCTAGCTGGGGGCTGCCAACCAATGCCTGAGATATACAGATCAAACAAGATGTCCCCTGAGATTTATGATGTGGTTTCTACACTGTCTTGTGCTCCACCCTACTGGAGACACTTGCTTCTCATTTGAAGCCTCTAAAGTGCCTGTGACCAGAATGGGCTCAGTTGGTTCCTCTTACTCCCGCCCTTAAGAGACCCAAGCTTTCCGGCATCCTCTTTAGGCTGCCATCGGAAAGAAGTGTCCCTCAGGAAGATGTGTTCCCTCACCATCTCCTCCCTTCTCTCTGGTGCGCTCAGAGTTCTGGGAAGGAAATCGGGCACTGGCTAGACAAAGAGCGCTGACAACACCGGGGTCACCCTTGTGGTGTGCCTGAAACAAAGGAAAACCAAAGGGAAAAGCAAAGGTACTGTTTCCCAGCAAGCCAGGGAGTGCAGTCTTGGAGGCTAAGCTGTCAGCTCCTACTTTCCTGAAACACTGTAAGCTAATCAGATCAGTCCCAGACCGCTTGTTTTAACACCTAACAACACTAAATTAGCCATTCCAAGTTTTAAAAAACAAGCTCCAATTCTGGCTAGTGGTTAATCTGGCAATTAGTTTTTAGATCTAGTGAAAGCACTCACTAAAATGTAGGTGCATGTAGATTCTACCAGATCAACTGCTTCTAGATTAGAAATGACACAGGAATAGTGTTCTGTGAGCAGTTTTAGAATAATCACAGTGGCCATGGTCATGGCCTGGAAAGAAGAAAAGGCAACAACGTGGGACTAAGAAGTGAGCCTACGGGGATGGTCACTGTGACCCTGGAACGAGGACGCCAGGCGGGGCCCGGAAGGCAAACAATACGGAAACACTGCAGAGGGTAGAGGTCAAAGGGGAGGGGAAGTCGAGGAAAAAAATAACTGGGTATCGGGTAAGTGAAGACACAATCCACACAATTCCTACAAATTATTTAACTAGGTATTGGGGTAAGTGAAGGCACAATCCACATAATTCATACAAATTATTTTAATTAAAAAAAAGCACGCCCAACAGCTTCCAAATAAGGACAGGGAGACAGCTTCCTGGCATAGACTTCAAAGAGGGGAATTAGGCAAAGGACATATAAAATCTGCTAGTTTCTAGGTGACAAGCTGCACCTCCCCCATGCTCAGGCTTAGAAGCCTGGGAGCTGGTGAACTGTCCAAATCCCACAAATTCTCAAATACCTACACATTTACCTTTCTTCTTTCCTAGCTATTGGAGGGCCTGGAGCATTTGCTGGAGAGATGCAGAAGTGTGGAAAATAAACCACTGAGGGCAGCTAGGTGAGCTGTGAACTCCTCCGAAGTGCCCAGATGGCATCATGATCTGAAAGAACAGCCAAGACACTACAGCTACAATGGACATGAGAACCTGGGCAGGGAAGTCAAATCCAGGGTAACTACTGCAGCTCTAGGCCACAGCCTCACCCACAATATCCCGTCAGACGGTAGTTTAGAGGGGCTGAAAAACAAGTCTTAGGTGAGCTGGGAGAGGAGGCAAAGATAATATTCCAGTGCACACACGAGACTAAATAAAGGGTCAGGGCATGGGCAGTGCTACCCATGCCGAAAGGGAAGCATCAGTGAGAATGAGCACAAATCACACGAAGAGAGGGGCAGAGAGAAGCTAAAAGAAAAGGAACTCAGCTCTGAAGAAAACATAACCCAAGGAGCAGGGAACAAATGTCTCACCAGGAAAACAAACAAAAAACAGCAACAATAACCAAAAACGAAAGGCCAAAGGCAAGACAACAAAATGAACAGAGATTCTAATCCCGGGGAAGAAAACGAAGGACTGTAATAATACCATTTCAGGAACAACAATCTTTTCAAACAACAAAGCAACGAGCACTGATGAAAATGATGTTAAGTGTGAGGGACGCAGTTTAACCGGGTGAGAGCTTGTCTGTCATAAACCCTGTGACCAGGTGCGGTGATGCTGCAGGCCTGCAATTCCAGCCCTTGAGAGGTGGAGGCAGATCAGACCAAGGTTGTCTCAGCTCCGTTAGGAGTTTGAGACCAGCCTGGGTTAACTGTCTCAAAAAAAAAAAAAAAAAAAAAAAAGAAAAGAAAAGAAAAGAAAAGAAAAAGAAAAAAAGGGCTAATAATGAAGAGCTGCTTGAGAGAAAAATGGGATAAAGATGAGGAAGATGAAAGTGATTATTTAATAATGTATGTGCCCCAGAAAGAAGACATAACAGAAAACTCAGAATCTCACAAGGGGAAAAGAATGAGACCAAAGATGAGTTGAACTCAAGCGTGGTAAAGCAGGCCTGTACTTCTAGGAGGCTGAGGCAGGAAGAGCACAAATTCAAAGCTAGCCTGGGCTACACAGCAAGCTCTTTTCTCAAAACACAAGACAAAATAAAGCATACTTTGTTAGGCTGTGGTGGCCTATGCCTTTCATCCTCGCACTCAGGAGGCAAAGGCGGGGAGATCTCTGTGAGTTCAAGCCAGTCTGGACTACAGAGAGTGTTCCAGGACAGCCAGAGCTACACAGAGAGACCTTGTCTCGAAAAATCAACCAACCAACCAACCAACCAACCAACCAACCAACCACAAAACAAAATGAAAACAAAGCATACGTAAGACAATTTGTTCTTTAGAACAGAATCTAAGACTATTCTAAGTGCTTTCCAGGGAGAAGGAATAATGGAAGATTGTGCACACCAGGGCAAGCGAGATGGCTCAGCAGGCAAGAAGCTCAGCGTAGAAGGGGAGAAAAGACTCCACAAGAGTCCACTGCACTCCACGCCTGTACAGGGCACACCCAACACACACTCCCTCTCTCTCTCTCCCTCAGTTTAGTAAAACAATTGTTTGAAACAATCGTGCATACGCATTCCCTTTTAGTTAAATCACTGAATTCAAAGATAAAAATTTCTTCTGCCGTCTACATGATATAAACAGGGAAACGCAGGCAACTTTCGAAAGTTTCTCAGCAGTGATGAATCAAGAAGGCAGTTGAGCAATATCTCTCGAGTTCCAAGGAATAAAGACGTGGCCCAGGAATATGTAAACCTAGCTATTTTGTGATTTAAACACAGACAGGAGACATGCATTCCCAAGCAGGAAAAACTCTGAAACCACACAGCCTGGGAAGCTGCAACTTGAACATCAATTTGATAATGAAATTGAGCCAACAAAGAGCTGAATAAAAATAAAATATTCATGAGTCTAGAAGCATGGGTAAGTGGTGGCAAATACTAAATCCTTTATGCTGGCAAAGCAAACCTCAGCAAGTAACAGTAACAGCTAAAATGCGAGGACTGGGAGATAACAGGAGCACAGTCAGTGCAGCCTGCCTCCTCTCTAAAAACCAACCGACCGACCAGAGAACCAAAACATCGATTCTGCTTTTGGCTTTTCTTCACTCTGACTTTGGCCAGCCTGGAACTCGCTCTGTAGCCAGGCTGGACTGAGACTAAGGGACTACAGCAGTACACCTCCTCTTCCCCAGGGACAAGCGTGATGGGAAGTCACACTTGGAATCACAGTACCGCATCTGCAGCGATGAGTCTCACCAGAATCACCTAGCAAAAGCTTTCTCTCACTCAGAATGCTCATTTCAGTTTCCTTTCCCCTAAACTCGGGTGAATGAATCTTAAAAGCACATACAAGCCAGGAGGCAGGACAAACAGAGTCAAGGCTAGCCTGGACTACAGCATAACCCCTTGTCTCAAAGAGCAAACAAAGCAAAATAAGAAAAAGCAGAAGCCAACACAAGTTGACAAGCACACAGGGAATCAGCGAGAATGGAGAGGCAGGCAATCCTGCAGAACAGAGTAGGTTCTAGAAATGCTGATCAAAGACTGAAAAGCCGTCTTGAGGCCCCGAGTTCAGCTCTCCAGCACCCATGTAACAAGCCAGTGTAGATGGAATGCTGCAGATACACGCCTGTTGCTGGGGCAGAACAGTGGGCGGGGCTCCACCCCACCAAGCTGTACAGTACAATGGCAAGTTTTATTTTATGTAAATTTTACTATAAAATCTGAGCAAAATGTAAATTTTTTTTTTTTTTTTTTGGTTTTTCGAGACAGGGTTTCTCTGTGGCTTTGGAGTCTGTCCTGGAACTAGCTCTTGTAGACCAGGCTGGTTTCGAACTCACAGAGATCCGCCTGCCTCTGCCTCCTGAGTGCTGGGATTAAAGGCGTGTGCCACCACCACCGGGCAAAATGTAAATTTTCAAAAGGCATGCAGGCCCCTGAGCGGGCTAGGTGATGGCTCTTGATGCTTAAGCCTTATGACTTAAGTTCAGTCCTGAGACCCACATGGGGAAAGGAGAGAGCGTGTTGCTCTCTGACCTAAACATACACACACATACACTCACACACTAAATAAAACAATGAAAGAATGCTATTCAACAGAGTAAAATGGCAAGACCACTTAAGTCAAAGGGTTTTTGCTGCTGTTTTGGGCATTGTTTGTTCTGGTGTGTTTACGTGTGTGTGCTGTGTGCAAATGTGCGTAAGTGAGCATGCCTGCACGTGAGGAGGCCATAGTGTTTGGCGTCCTCCTTTAACACAGTCACCTTTCTGCCCTGGAGATGGGTTTTTGTCTTTGGAGTGTGGGTTTCATTTTTCTCTGCTGGACTTGTGGCCAGCAGGTCCTAGTGATTCCCCTGCCTCAGTGCTATGTTACAAGTGTGCATGGGACCAGAGTGCTGCGTGGGTGCTGGGAATTAACTCTTGTTTTCATGCTTGCACATGAGTACTCTGAGCTGCTGGCCAGGGCGACTGAGGTGGCAGCACCAAAAGGGGACAACTTGTCTGGATGACTCCACCAGGACCGTGTGGTTTCATGAGCTCACTCAGTCTGCAACTGCTTACATGATGGCAGACAGCTGGGGGCTACAGCAGGTCCCTATGCTGCCAGGAGCTCACCTGCTCCAAGCATCCATCCTTTGAGTCTACATCAATAACCTACTTCTCCCCATAAATATAACTGTAAATCCTACCCTTTCCAGTGCTGATGTACTCTAACTCCCAGATGCTTCAGCCTCCCCAGCTGTGTGCAGTGAGTTCACCGGGATCCCATGCATACCTGCGAAAGGATCAACTGCCCATGAAACAGGTGTACAAATTTTCTTAAAAACGAAAAGTAAGTTTCCTTTCCAAGTGTTCTGGCTAGGAATCGGAGAAGGAAGTAGCCCTGGGAGAAAAAAGAAGATAGACAGTAAGCTGGCTTCAGGGGTCATCGCAGAATTGCTTACATCAATCAGTGCCCATGTACTGGTGCATCCGAAACACGCTGCTTTCTCTGGCTCAGGTGAGCAGGCCTGGAAATGCAGAGTGGACGTCAGAGCCACCTAGCTCGGGCTCTACAGGACAGGAGAGGCCCAGAGATTTCCCACCCCAGGTCCAGGTGCCACCTGCTTTAGTCTCTCCTTGTCTACAGCAGGGAACTGGGCTTCCTCAGGCTGAGCCTTGTGAACACAGCCTTGTTTAGAGGCTTTTAGAGTGCTGACCTGTGAATACCCAGTCTGGGCTCCCTGAGACGCCATTACAGAGGTGGAGACCCTTTATCCTGCCCCAGCCCGTTCCTCATCCTGCTCAGCTCTATGGCCTCAGGAGTGCTGTTCTGTAACAAATGGCCACAGCCATCAGCGTGCTTACCTTTAAGTAATGAACCTGCATGAAGCCCTTCTCTGGGTTGAGTCCATGCTTGACAACGGACGCACCTGAAGAGCTCACATGGCCAGTGTCCTCTTTGTTGGGTCTAAAACAACACAGTGACCACGTGTCTAAGTACAGTGCTTTCATGCCCAACTGGAACATCACCTCTCATCTCTTCTTTTCAAGCTTGTGCGGCTGTCCCTTCCTTCAGGTTAGTAGTTCCAGGTATAACTGAAAACAGTTTACATTACAAACACACACACACTCAGCAAGAAGGATTTACACTCAGTCTGGCAAACTGAGGCCAGTTATTGGCAATATTTTAAGGCACCTTATCCAAGATGAAAGCCTGCCAGTCCCTCCAGGAATCTTAAGCTCCAATATGAATTATTTATCAGTGCAAACCCTTTCTTGGTGAGGAAGCTGAGCTGTGAAGTGCAGTGGCAAATGTACCTCACTTGGTAAAGTGTGTGTACATGTGTGTGTATGCGCATGTGTGTATGTGTGCACATGTGCGTGTGCGCATGCATGTGAGTGTGTGTGCGTGTGTGTATGTGTGCATGTGCGTTTGTTAAATGTAGAGAGCCCTAATGTTCTCATCTCAAGAGCTACATTTAATAATTAAGTATCCCTTAGGACACATATGCATCCTGAATCCACTTGACAAACACAAAAACAAGCACAGAATAGGTCCTAAGAAGCTCTTGATTTGGGGACAGGTGGGGACATTTGGGATGATATACTCATTTCATACATGAGGTCTGTACCCAGGGTGTGATGCTTTGCTGTGGGCTTGTGGTGTCATGTAAAATAAACTAGTGCCTCATTATCCAGCAGGGTATGTTCCACCGCAAGCTCAGCTTTAAGGCTTCTCCTCCTCCTTTTTCTTTAACTTCCTTATGCTAAAATGTACCAGATCCTCTGAGGCTCTTCACATGGTGAGACCTCAAGAACAGCTAAGAGCAAACTAAGTGACAGAAGAAATGTGTAGCTTTCTGGGCCTCCTGGACAAATGCTGCAGAATGTGTTAGTGCCAGGCAAGGGGAGAAATGAAAGGCAGAGAAGCAGAGCGCCAGGACAGCGGTCTGAGCAAGGTGGTTGATTATCAACTTTTCTTCTTTGCCTTCTGTGACTGCTGAGGTCAGTCTCGCTGTGCTGGCTCGGGCTGGCCCAGAGCCTATCTGTGGACAGGGCTGACTCTCCTACCTCCTGAGGCTGCTCAGGGTGATACACCACCACACCTGACTTCAACTTTCTTCCTGTTATCTAGTGCTCACCAAAAGGTTGCAGAAGCTTTCCAACTATCAATTTATTAATTAGTAAAATGGAAGTAAATTCTACTCACATTTCTAGGTCCTAGGCAGTCCCCACAAAATGGTGATAAATATAAATATTTACTTCTTTAATATAGTAAGCTATTTTAACTGTGTTACCAAAAGAGTCCCTTAGTAAGTCTTAGTAGAATATCCCAGAACATATCTCTAGCAGACACAAGGCTAGCAGGTCCCTGAAGCAAGGGCATTAAGAAGGAACAACTCTGGGAGCTGACTTCAAAGTCTGAATTTGTCTCCTGCCTCCCCAGTTGACTTACACGAACACACTTTAGAATCACCCACCCCTTTTGTCTTCATGAGTTCTCTGACATGCCTCAGCTAAGGCCTCTCTGTTCTTAAGCCCTTTTCAAGACCAGGTGATTGACTATTTGGATGAGGAAATCCCATCACCCTACTTGGGGAAGGACAGCTTCTTAAGAAGCCTAGTGAATTCACATCAGGATGCCCAGCCCTTGCGGTGAGGCTACTGAAGGGGAGGAGACAGTGATGCACACCTCTGTTCACAGCTGGCTTTCAGCTTTCCAATGATACCTTTAATGGCTGCCTAAAGATGTCCTTCTGTAAAACCCTCTCTCTCAATCTCTTCTCTCTTCTCGAAATGAACAACTGTTTAGGCAGATCTTCTGTGTTGTCAGCAGCCCTACCACATACACAAGTCCTCAGAGATTTCTCGTAAAGTGCACGCAGAGTTAGGGCAAGCAGGGCACAGACAAGTTCTGTGAGACTCTGGAGGTTTTCATGAGAAAGGCTTTCCATCGGCAGAGACCATGAGCTTCTGTCTCTGGGATACCCACCACGTGTTCACAGAGACAGCTCTATGCAGCTACAACACAGAAAAAGCAGGAGCCACATCTAGTCTGCCCCTCACGATCACACAGAGGAAACTCACACCCGCCAGGATCGCTGGCCTCTGGAGCAGTAGGAACCTTAAGGAGGGTGAAAGAGGTTAAAAGAGAGGCTTCTGAGATGATCACAGACCGCTTCCATGTGACTAGAAACTTCCTGGAGTACTCTAGCAAAGATGTGTGCACTTTATTGCATGTGATTCATTTCAATTTAAAGTTAAGGAAAACCTGAGCATTCAGATGAATGCCTGAAACTCCAGTATCTTGAGGCTGGGGTAGGAAGAAACAAAGTTAGAGGCCAGCCAGAGCTACAAAGTGATATTTTATTTCAACAAAAACCAACCAAATAAATGAAATCCTAAAAAGGAAAAAGAGTTAAGAAAAAGAATATGCAAATAAAACAGTCCCCACCTTTCCTCCCAGATCAGGGCACACCAGTGTAGAAAGGTGTCTGCTCCTGTGTGCACAAACACAGTCTCCACCTTTCCCCCAGATCAGGGCACACCAGTGTAGAAAGGTGTCTGTTCCTGTGTGCACAAACACAGTCCCCCCAGATCAGGGCACACCAGTGTAGAAAGGTGTCTGTGCCTGTGGGTACAAACACAGTCCCCCCAGATCAGGGCACACCAGTGTAGAAAGGTGTTGGCTCCTGTGGGCACAAACATAGTCCCCATCTTTCCCCTTAGATCAGGGCACACCAGTGTAGAAAGGTGTTGGTTCCTGTGGGTACAAACACAGTCTCCACCTTTCCCCCAGATCAGGGCACACCAGTGTAGAAAGGTGTTGGTTCCTGTGGGCACAACACAGGACTGGGACACAGGACAGGGCAGTGGATGGGGCTTGCCTGAAGCTTTTGCTTCTCTTACAGCAGAAGCAGCGACTACTACTGTGCTTCCACCCACTTCTCATCATAGACATGACAGAAGGAAGGAGATGAACCACTTGTCACCATGAGGCAGCGACTCAGTGCACCCCAGAGACTAGAAGGAAATAAATCAAGGTAAAACTTCTTCAGTGGCGTAATTCACTCCCTGCCCTTCTGGCCGCTTCTCGTGTGAAAGGCATAAGCACCGTGTGTTGAGGTCAGCTCTCCTTTACCCACACCTAGACTCACACGTGAAGGAAGGAAGGTGGAGGAAGGTGGGGGCAATGCTACCGGCAGCACAGCCTGGGTAAGGGCCGAAGTGTCAGTGCCGTTCACCCCACCATGATCTCTGCAGCGTGTCCTCCCCGACAAGAACCCGATGGGAGAGGGCTGTGAGGATGCCCATCAAGAGATAAAGAAGTAGGGGCCCACAGAAGAACTCAAAGCTGGTTGGTAGCTGGTCAGAACCTAGGCAGAGACTGTATGCCAGGGCTTCCTTGAGAGAGAGGCTCCCACCTAGCTGTGCAAAATCCTCTGGAGAGAACAAGAGACCCACCATTTTCCCTCCAGGAAGATTTGCTTCCTCACTGCAAGTCTATGATGAAGTTCACATAAGTAAAATCACTGCATAAAAGCAAACTGTAGTCACGCTGCAGTCAGAAGACTCCAGCGTTCACTCCTCACCTGACGTGTGTGGAATGTGGGTGATCAAGTTACCAAGGTCGTCTGGGATCAAATGCTCTTGGTTTCTGTGGTACCTGGCACCAAGTACAGCAACTGAGGTGAACATGCCCTTTCTGGCCTCAACCCCACCTCTCCTGCACTCTCACAGAAACTATCATTTCCTGAATGATGGTGGTATCTGACACACAGATATGCCGTTTGGATTGAGGCACTTAGGAGAGGTCTGGTCCTTCTAGGCTACAACCAGGGGTGAAAGTCGGGCAGCTGCCTCTGTGAGGTGCTCAGACAGCTAGGTATCTGGTTCTGTCTGCCCTGAGCAGCTCATACAGATCATCTGCCAGAATGCCCTCTTGTGTTTGTGGGCACCAGCTACCAGTGGCCTCTGTATGTTATAATGAAGGTTTCTATCCCGCCCGTCCCGAAATAATCATGCAGAAACCATATTATTTGTAAATACTGTTTGGCCAATAGCTTAAGCATATTTCTGGCTAACTCATATCTCAAATTAACCCATCTCCATCAGTCTGTGTATTGCCACGAGGCTGTGGCTTACTGGGTAAAGTTCCGGCGTCTGTCTCTAAAGGCAGGGCTACATGGCTTCTCTTCACTCTGCCTTCTTTTTCTAAGCATTCAGTTTAGTTTTCCCTGCCTACCTCTGTTCTGCCCTGCTATAGGCCCACAAAGCAGTTTCTTTATTAACCAATGGTATTAACAGCATACAGAGGGGAATCCCATATCATCTCATTGGTCCTTGTCTACTTGTCAAACATAGCCACCCCAACAAGAAGCAGAGCTTCATTTATATCCTAACAATGAGGAAGTGAAACTGTCCAAGTAGAAACTGGCCTCAAGGTCCCATCTCAATTCCACTGTTGAAAACCCACAGGGGATGTACATGCAGGTTAAGATTTGACCATGAACATAGCATGCCAAGCCCCATGAAGCTCAGCTCCCTCGTCAGCAGAAACAAGAGATGGTGACTGTTGAGATGGCTCACTGCATGCATGGGCTGACCGCCAGTGCCAACACAAATGCCAGGTAGGAGTGGAGGTGGGGAGCATGCTGGATATACTGGCCAGAACAGGAGATCCTGCCGTAAGGCATGGGTGCAGAGGTCAGGGATGACAGCTGGCGTCTTCCTCTAGCCTCTGGGGGCAAACACACGGACAGGGGCCTACATATCTGCTAACAGACCAGCACAACGCACCACACACACACACACACACACACACACACACACACACACACACACACATACACATCAGCGGGACAACAGTGGCTCTGGCATCTCAGTGGGCTGCAGCATCCAGGACGGCTGAGTCAGAGTTCCTCCTGGCTTTCATTAAGTCCACAGGAAGTCACTCCTGTTATGAGG